CCAGACACAAAACACACGTTAGATTACAGTTCCTAGATCAGATAACCGACATCGGAAAACCATAATCCTGGACATATTTTTCCAGGGTTATGTACGTGTGCGTTTGTGTGTGTGTGTGTGTGTGAGTGAGTGCCTACGTGAGGAAGTCCCTGACGTCCTCCACGGTGATTTCTCCGGTGGTGTCGAGGGTGAGGTCGGCACAGCTGAGTGGGGAGTCCAGAGGGGTGTCCATCAGGGGGGAGGACAGGGGGGGGTCCATGAGGGGGGAGGACAGGGCGATCGGAGGCTCTTCCGTTTGTCCTGTGAGGGAGAGAACAATTTATAAAAGCCTTAAAAAAAGTCTAAGGCTGAACCACATCGCTTAGCCTTAGGCGCTGTTTACACGAGAACGAAACGGGTTGTATCTGCTACTTCTCTCTCGTGAATAGCCCGTTCTTCACACGAGGCCGTAACGGAACCGCGGAAACGGACCCCGCAAACGACAACAGGTCCCAAGGTGGATAGATCTGCAAACGGAACGCTCTGGGGGGGTCAAACGGCTCCGTGTGTACGCCCTATACGATCATTTCCTGATAACGATGAAGCCATAGCCCCACCTCTGCTCTCACCTCTGCTGCTCACTGCTGTCGCATGGTCAGTAGCTTCTGTCAGTAGCTACTGCTAGTGCTACAGATGTTAGTGCAACATCTACAGCTCCTCTACCACAACCATCAGCAACAAGTGGACATGGAGAATTACATGAACTACATGTTGCTAAATCCACCGTGGAGCATAAACAGAAGGGCAACCATGGCAACGATGCTCGGGGGTCTTCTTCGCTGCTTTTGGTGTATTTTGTGGCAGAAGTACAGCGCCACTTACAGGCCCAGCGTATGAAATACAGCGTTTCCAGTGGTCTCGTGTGAACGGACACGTTAAATGAGCCGAATGCGTGTGAACGGAAGACTTTTTTGATAACGAATTCGGTCCGTTTGCGTTCCCGTGCAAATGGGGTCTTAATCTGCTACAGATGGACGACTCTTATTGGCTTTAAAGGTTTCCTCGGTCATGTCGGGTTGAGTTTAAAATATTTGGCCAAGCACATTGTAAACAACTTCATCACAATTTGGTTTGACAGTAGATTCAGGAACGATCTGTCATAGAGTTGATACCCCAACGAGCATGAATGGAGTTCAACACTGCTTAGAGAACAGAATGGATCAAATCTGTATCTTTGTTTATATCGTCTGTTGTTGTAAGCCCAAATGTGTTGGTTTACCACAAAAGTGATTTTCTTACATTTTTCTTATCTTAGTTCAAGGGTTGCACAAGTCCCCATTTTCTTAAATGCCAAGCCTGCCTTTCAAAATTCATCTTTAACATCTTAAAGCTGCCATTACTCATTATTTTATATTAACGATGAAACAAACGGCGGCTTGAAAATGAACTCAGATGAACTCAGATGAACTCTTATTGATGAACCGACAAAGTTGATATCACAATGCTGCAGTTTTCCTCAACCCAACAAGGCTTGTTCCGTTTGCCTCGGCTCTACACACGTTTTCAGCTTCTTTCCGCTCCTGGTTTTGGTTTCACTCCCAATGCTCTCAGTGTTATTTTGAGTGACAGTGGGTAGCAGTTTCCAGCAAAAAAAGCACAGAAAAAATCCACATAATTAGCATAAGTTAGCCAATCGTCTGTGCAGAGAGAGGGAGTGAATATTGGATTTACATTCATCACATGGACAGAAACAAACTAAATGGATGTTCAATAAATAGGGATGTGTTAACTAAAAAGATGAAAAAGATTATAAGTTGATAATATGTGCCACTAGTGCTGCCCCCTAGTGGCCAAAACACACCTATAGCAGAGCATTTATAACACATCGTCAGTCAGTACATATTTTTTTTTTTTTAGTAGTACTAGTTATCAAAGTGCCAGGTAGAAAACCCACTAACACACAACTCTACTCTACTCTACTCTGGTCTGGTCTCCACGACAACCATCCTTTCCTGCCAGAGAGGGAGGCGCTGGGCAGGAGAGCATTCTGAATGATTGCCATGGAGACCAGTGGGGGGGGGGCCCTTTCAGTTTTAAAAGAGAGAAAGGAGTGATGAAGAGGGAGAAAATACAGAGTGTGTGTGTGTGTGTGTGTGTGTGTGTGTGTGTGTGTGTGTACGTACCCTCAGCCTGACCCATCTGGTTCTTGTGGGTCCCGTTGGCCTGCGTCGTGCTGCCGTCGCTGAGGAGACACACAGCATTAGACGGAGTAATAATACAGTAACAGCAGAAGTATCATTCTCTGGTTTCAGATGGAGCAGAGAGCCTGAAGGAACAGTGGGTTTAGAGGTTTACAATGTGGGGTCTCGGACCACCAAGACACTTCAATAGTGGGTCTCTGGAATTCCCCAAGTCTATTTTTTTCAATCTTTTTTGCATCAATGCGTGGTTTGTCAGATATCTAATTTGCTGGGTTGAACCAAAAAAAGAGGCATATATCTGGCTGATTAGCTCATCTAACAACAATGTATTAAATGTTAAATGTATTATTTCCTAAAATAAAAAAATTGTATTATATTATACTGTACTTTGTTTTAAATCAAATCAAAGATCCTTGAGATGTAGCCTCTCATTAAAACACACATTCAAAATGCAATAACACATAGAAACTAAAAAACCATTACATAACACACACTGCAGATACACACTCGCTCACCTTCTCCCACACACACCCCCACACCTCAGCTGTTCTACAAGAAAAACTGGCTAATATGACACCATCAAATAAATCAATTTCATCAGCACGAGGAGCATTTCAAGCTGTCTGTCTTCAGTCTATTTGTTCTCCATGTTTTGAAGGTGTCTACATAACAAAGACACCCTGAAGCAGTCCAGTATTGTAATGGAGGACTATCTGTATCACACGACCACGGTTTAGTTTGACTGCAGGTGTGTGTGAGTGAGTGAGTGAGTGAGTGAGTGAGTGAGTGAGTGAGTGAGTGAGTGAGTGAGTGAGTGAGTGAGTGAGTGAGTGAGTGGATTGGTCCAAACTGCGCACGTTACGTCACTGTACCCAGGAAGACAAAGAGAAATGTCCAACGAGGCGTTCTGGGGCAGCACAGACAGGTCCTCTCTGTGTTAGAGTTTTACTCCTACAGGGTGTACTTTGAGGGTTTTGACTCTGCAGACCGTTTACATACAGAACAACCTTCATAACACACAAGGGGACGGGTGATAACCAGAAAAGCATGACATGGGACCTTTAATGTAAATTAGATTATGTAAACTTTGTCCAGTATATGAATATGTGATGCCTGGTGCCAGGCCATGTTCTGTCCCTTACTTGGTATCCTTAAATGTAAAACATGTATCAAATCCGACAATTGAGTTGAAAATGTGTGCATGCCTAAGTGAGTAAGTGAATAATCTTTGACGTTGTTGGTTGGTTCTTCATGCATCATTATTATCTGAATATCTTTCATAACAAACTGATATATGGTTTAAGTATTTCAAGTTTTGAGGGGTTTTGCAATGAAAACAAGAACGTAAAAAAGACACCTAAAACATGTGCTCTTCCAGACTGTTGTGTTTGTGTGACTCTAAACATAAATACTGTATACTCCAACTCTTATGGAGAATCATAACGCTTACAATCACAAAGGAGTACAAGTACAAATAAAACATTGAGTTCAAAGGTACTGCAATAAAAAAGATTATAACAGGGCTAAGATGAATACTCAGTTCTGATTGGTCAGTTGGACATTCTGCACGCGATTAAAAACAAAGTCCAATGATAGTGAGAGCTGTACAGCTTCAATGAATAAAAGCTCATCGAAACACAAGATTAATGTCATGGAGAAGTTTTACTAAAATAGTGTTAAATTAGTAACATTTATATTTCCAACAATCTTCTGCCTGTCAGTATTTAAGTTT